ACGCAGCTGTGTCGAAGCTCGCGGAGTACGACGGAATCATGTTCGGGCTGCCAACGCGCTTTGGCAGCGCGTCCGCGCAGATGAAGTCCTTCTTCGACAGCACTGGGGCCCTGTGGCAGTCTGGTGCGCTGGCCGGAAAGCTTGCTGCCAGCTTCGTGAGCACAGGCACCTTGAATGGTGGCCAAGAGTCGACGCACATGACCACCCTGACGAACATGGTCCACCATGGCATGATTTACGTGCCTCTTGGCTACCAGGCGGGAGGGGATGGCCAGTTCGACATGGCCGAGGTGCATGGCGGCTCGCCCTGGGGTGCAAGTACCTATGCTGGAGCCGATGGAAGTCGCCAGCCCAGTGCGATGGAGATGAGCATTGCCAAGAGACAGGGCAAGGTCTTTGCGGCCAAAGTCAAGCAGATGAGCAAGTGAAGCTAGGGTCGGGTTCAGTTACTTCCTGGTTTGGAATGCATGAGGGTCCCTGGACAAACGATGGGCCCAGATTGCCGAAGGCAAACTTCAGTTAGAGATCGCTAGGTGTTTAAGGCCTCTGGACAAATTATGGGCCTCGCACCGGCACAAGACTCACTAAACATGAATGAGCTGAAGCTAGGAAAAAGGCAATTGCCTCTGCGGACGATTTCAGCCTTGTAACGCTTGCCCCTGCCTCGGCAACCAACCTTCGGCTCCTCCACGTTTGGCAGGTCTCCGGGGGGGGGGGGGGGGAGGCATACAGAAGTTTCTGGGTTGGAAAGGGGGAAGGAGACCAGATCCTCCTAGACGCCCCTCGGCTGGAAGCCGCGGCAAACTGCACCAAGGGCAGGTAGCAGGACAGGTGCGCCGCACAAACAAAGAATGTGTGCCAATCGTCATGTAGGTTCAGACTGGAGTCGGATGGACGTTTTGACCTGAAATATCAGCTGGCCAACATGCCTTCCCGATGTGCCTTTTGTGTTGACAAGCAGCTGGCAGCAACGTGGCGACTGCTGAAGCCCAGCAATACCCTAAACCCCAAACCCTGAACGCTGTACCCTAAACCCAACTCGCAGCTATTCGCATTCCGTTGGCCATCCCGGGGCTGGCATCTAAGTACTCGGAGTTAGGCCCAGTTTTGGCCGTTAAGGAGTTTCACTTTAAAAGGCTCAGCCGTTGAAGGGCGCACCCAAACTTTTAAACGCTCTTCTGATGAGGATTTCTGCTTACTCTGTCTCTTTGCAGACTGCAATGCATGGGTGTAGATTGCACTCCCTGCCCGAGACTTGTAGGTGATCGCCGACGAGCACGGCATCGATCCCACAGGCGCAGAAAGCATCGGTGCAAGTCGTCCTGATGCCGTTTCTGGTCTGTCTGCACATGCAACCTGTGTAACTGAGTTGGGCTTTCTGATGCTTTCTGCGAACTCTGAAAGACAGAGCGCATACCGTTCGGATGAAAGTAATGCCATGTAATGCCCAAGTCTCGAGCTCACAGCTTCTTGCAGCCACTGCAGGCACCTACCATGGTGACTCCGATCTGCAGCTGGAACGCATCAACGCGCCTGCACCGCACGGGCAGGGGGGTGTGGATGAGCACGTGTGCGTCGTAGCATTCTCTAAACCCTGCATGTAGCATATGATCGGCGGCCAACGTGGTGGGACAACCGAGGTGTACTTCAACGAGGCGACTGGAGGACGCTACGTTCCCCGCGCGATCCTGATGGATCTTGAGCCAGGCCTCGGGGATTTGTGTGGAGAGGCTCTGTCGAAGTTGAGCGATGGCTGTACCAACGGCTTTACCGTTCGCAAGCAGTTCTTGCTCTGCGCTACGGACTGGGTTGCCCATGTGAGGAACCATGGACTCCGTGCGCGCCGGGCCTTTTGGCCAGCTCTTCCGTCCGGACAACTTCGTCTTCGGACAGACAGGACAGGGGGGCACACCACAATGCACCGCCTGAAGTTTTCTGAAGCAGTTAAAGCGCTCTGACGACAAGTGCTATGGCAAGCCTGTCATCTGCTCCAGGAGCCGGGAACAACTGGGCTAAGGGTCCGGAGCCCGGTGGTGAGCATTCTCACTTATTGTCACTTTGTGAATGCTGGGGTTAGGTGCCAGTTAACGGCTACCGATCTACATGGTGGCATAGTAAAAGCTCACAGCCTGGCACCTGCACTGAGGTCACTACACTGAGGCCGCGAGCTGAGCTTGTCTCCCGAAGAAAGCCTTGAGTGTTCCGGGTACTCACAACACCTGCAGCGATGGCCTCAGAGCTCAGGGTGCGGAACTCATTGACTCCGTGCTCGACGTGGTGCGAAAGGAGGCGGAAGGCGGGCAAAGGGGTTGAAAGTGTGGGTCCACTGGCATCTCTGATGCACGAGAGACGCCTCATCAAAAATCAGCCTGTGCATATGGGGCTGATCCAGAATGTGGGCCCTTCTTGGGGTCTCCGTTGTCGTCTATTCGTCATAGTTTGGCCCAATGTAGAGCAGCCTCCCACCCTAAACCCTAAACCCTAAACTCCTAAACCCCTACCATGAATGGACCCTCGGCATGCACCCTGCAGGCTGCGACTGCCTCCAGGGCTTCCAGCTCTGCCACTCATTGGGAGGAGGCACCGGCGCCGGAATGGGAACTTTGCTCATCTCCAAGGCGGGATCCTACCTAAACTCATCTAAACTCTATTTCATCTTTTCCCACCCTTACCTCCACCGCAGGGTTTAGGGCCGAGGAAGCCCAAGTGCGGCCCCAAATTCTGAGCAAATTCTTGGTCCGAACCATTGTAGGGTTTCGGTTTTAGGGTTCAGGTAGACCCTCAACTACCTAAGGACTCTGGCTCCCAGCACCCCCCCCCCCCCCCCCCCAGCCTTTCATAAAAATTTGCGCCCTCTAAACCTAAGGCCCCCAAGCCCCTAAACCCGGAGCCCTTCAGGTGCGTGAGGAGAAGCTCGGACACCACTTTGTTCAGGGTTTTTAGGACGGGATTTAGGGTTTTAGGGTTCAGGGCTTAGATGGGTGTAAAGGTTTTTAAGGGGGTTCCGGGTTCAGGTTTCGAGGGCTTGGGTTTGCGGTTTAATGGCGTGTGAAGCTCGGGTTTATGGTTTAGGGGTTTTGGGGCAGGGTTTGTCGTCAGGTTCAGGCTTGTGCGAGGATGCATCGGATGAGTTTCAGAATAGGCCTTGACGAGAACAAATGGGCAAAAAGGTTGAAAGGTTTGAAGTTTAGATTTGAGTTCAACGCTTTGGGACAGTTTCTTGCGTTTTAGGAAGCGAAATGGCAGTAGTGTTGTAGTCGGCCTCATTGCGGTTGTGCAACACTGCTGCTGAGAAGCTTTACAAACTCCGAGGTACCCGGATCGCATCATGGAGACATTCTCGGTGATCCCGTCGCCGAAGGTCTCCGACACCGTGGTCGAGCCATACAATGCTGTCCTGAGCTTCCACCAGCTTGTGGAGAACTCCGATGAGTCCTTCCTGCTGGCCGCTTGGCAATAGCTTACCGCAGCTTACCCAACCTCATAGACTCATAGACCTTTGGCATAGAGCCTCGTCAGACGGCTCACAGCCTCATAGCCCGCAAATGCCCTCACTCCATCACTTTTCTGCCGGAGGGCTGCCGTGCTTACTTTAGGACAACGAAGCGCTCTACGACATCTGCTTCCGGACTCTGCACCCTGGCTCGCAGTATATCTGTGTGCTTTCTCAGCGGTTCAGGGCTCAGTAGAGCTCGGTTCCGGGTGCCCAGCCGCGCACCCTGAAGCATTTGTAAACCATGCGCTCCGAAACTCGTCGAACAAGAACATTGCAGACCACCCTGGCACGGAGGCAGCGTTTTCTCTTTAGGGCTTTAGGGTTTAGGATTTAGGGTTAAGGGTTGTTGTGTGAGTTTTGGGGTTCTCAGGGTTCAGGGTTTCAGTGGCCGAGGAAGCTGACGACGCCAACGTACGGCGATCTGAACCACTTGGTCTCCGCTGCCATGAGCGGCGTGACCTGCTGCCTGCGCTTCCCGGGACAGACGCTGGCCCGAAATGCTCAACTCCTCCCCTACTCCAAGCCCCCCACCCAAAGCCCAACTCTAACTGGCACACCTGACGGGGGTTGACCTAAACTACGAAAATTGCACCTTAAGCTAAGCTCTAAGGAATATACCGCCCCCCCCTCCCCCCAAGTGCCGATGTTTTTGACCAAGCCGTGCATGTTCCGCCAATCCGTCGGACCCGTAGTGCAGGAGCGTAAAATTTGCCCGTATTGTCCCCTATATGCCCAAACATCCCCAAAACTTTGCACTCTAAACCTCTGAACCTTAAGCTCTCTCCTCAGGCTGAATTGCGATTTGCGCAAGATCGCCGTCAACCTGGTGCCTTTCCCGCGTGACCCGGAATCTACTATTTGCTTGAGAACCCCAAAAGAGTAAAAAACAATAGTCCCTATATTGCCCTGAATAAGGAATAAGGAAGAATACTCTTTATATTTTCGGGGTTCTTAAGCACTTAGTAGGAATGCAGTTACGAGCAGATGCTCGCTTGGTGCCACTCGGGGATGTCCAAGGGTTTAGGGCTTAGGGTTCTCGGCTTGGGGATTCTGAGGGTTTTTTGGGACTCTATTGTGTAAAAAATGAGTAAGTAAAATACATATAGAAATATGGACATATGAAGTGAATATGAGTACTTAGTATGAACATTTCATGTAACATGAGATGCTATATGTATATATCTGAAACCCATGGCCTTCGACTGCTGTCGGTGCTCCCCACAAGCTCCGCCTTCCTGCCTAGGAGCGACTTCTCCTGGACTGCCCGTTTTTTTGTTTTTTTTTGGGGGGGGGAGGGGCTTGTGGGCCAAAACCCATCTAAAACCCAGACCTCTCAGCCCCGAAAAGTCCCTACAGCTCCCTCTGAGCATCCCTGAGACCCCCAAAGCCCTCAGCACACCCCGAAACCCTCGACCCCAAAGCCCCGCAGCTCCAGAAAGCCCCCTAAAGCCCCTCTAAAGCCCCCCAAAAGCCCCCCCCCCCCAAAGCCCACCTAAGCCTCAAGGCTTGCACTTCTTCATGACGGGCTTCGCGCCCTTGACCTCCCGCGGGTCGCAGCAGTACCGGGCCCTGACCGCACCTGGGCACCAACTCGGAAGCAATTTTTCGGGTTCAGGGTTTAGGGTTTAGGGTTTGGGGTTTGGGGTTTAGGGTTTAGTCCCCCATGGGTAGTTCTTGTTTCCGGCATTGTTGCAACACCAACAATCTTGACCCTGGCTATACATATGTTTGGAGATGGTGGATTAAAGGTGTACCTAGAAGTCCCAGAAGCCCCAACCTGGATTTACCGGGCAGGTTCTGAGCTTCCGCAGAAGAATCTCGGGGGATTTAGGTGCGAGGGCTTGAGGGCTTTAGGGTTTGAGGGGTTTAGGGGTTGGGGTTGAGGGGTTTAGGGTTTAAGGTTTAGGGGTTGAAGGGGTGTAGGGTTGTAGATAGATGAGGGTTCGTTTTGGGGCTTCGCTGTCAAGCTCGCTTGTTCGTGCTTCGGATTCCACAATCGACCCAGGTTCCCGAGCTGACTCAGCAAATGTTCGACGCCAAGAACATGCCTCTTGGCAAGCCGATAGGTGGTCTCCCTTTGCGTGTGCATGCGTGAGTGTGTGCGTGCGCGCCCGAAAACCTGAAGGCCCCCTAAGCCCCCTAAAGTCTAAACCGCTAGACTCAAAACCCCTCAAAGAAGTGGGCCAGCCTGTTCAGTCCGTGGGAGGGAATCCCTGACAGGAGAAAGAGAGGGGGGCACATAGGCTTCGATTGATCGCCTTCCTTTGTGGAGGTAAAAGCCGGTGAAGTTTCAGGGGCTTTCGTTCCCCCAGCACAGTCAGGATGTGCGCCGCGGACCCCCGCCACGGCCGCTACCTCACGGCGGCAGCTCTCTTCCGCGGTCGCATGTCCACCAAGGAGGCGTGAGGTCACCTTGAAAGCTCAGGTGTTGCTTCACAGCAGTTAAGAAATAAGACGCCAGGGGGTTGAAGGACCGCACGGTTCGAGGGCGACTCGTACCGGTTTCAATTTACGTTCCCGATGGGTGCTGGGTTCTGGGGGAAATCGAGGATCTTGTAGAGTCACGCCAGGGTTTATGTCAGAGCCGCAACAGCAGGATTGTGCCAAGTTCCTGCTTTTGAGGATGAAAGGTCGTGCTTGCTTTCATGACGCTTTGCTTCAGTTCTTTGTACTTCGTAGAACGTGCTGGAGTGCGAAGCTGCCCTGCTGTTTAAAACTGAGTCTTCGTGCACCTACTTTGTTCGCGTGGGCCCTGCACGGGGGCTTAGGCTTGGGGTCATGGCATTCGGAGCCAAAGACCTCTGCAGGTTCTCGGGTGGCTTTCAGTAGGTTTGGGGGGAAGGTAGCCTTTGTGTCTTAGGAGGCTTTTTTGAAGGATACTTCAGGACCCCCAACTCGCAGACTATCAAGTCCTAGTCCTGCAGGTGGATGAGCAGATGCTGAACGTCCAAAACAAGAACTCCTCCTACTTCGTGGAGCCTTGGCTGCCCAATCGTGTCCACAGAATTCCCATAAGCGGCCCCCGGCCCCCACAACCTTCGCATCTCAGCGTCGGTCCTGCAGGAGAGCCGTGCCCTGACGTAGCACCGCTTGTTGAGGAGTGGATCCCCAACAACATCAAGGCGTCCGTCTGCGACATCCCTCCGAAGGGCTGCTCAGCTTGATTTCCAAAGGGCAGGCTTTGCGGTTGGGGGCTGAGCCGAAGTAGAACTTCTAGCGCCAGCTGTAAGAGAGCCGCTTCGATGCTAGCAGATGGTGTACTGGAGGCAAAGGGTGTTTCTTGAAGTTGCCGCACCTCGTGCGGTCTCATAAGATGGCCCCTAAGCGCTGAATGATCATCAAGGATTCGCTGTGCAATGAGTCACGAATCACCTGTAGGGCGGGGGCAGCTGAAGGTCTGAAGATGGCAGTCGCGTTTGCGGGAAACTCGACCGCCATCCAGGAGATGTTCAAGAGGCCCGTGTTCCGCCCGATGTGCCTGCCTCAACTGTTATGCGAGAGTACAGTGCTGACCGTGCTCTCCTTCCTCCAGATCCTGGTAAGTCCCAAGTGAGCGCGAGTCTGGATACTACATGGAGACTCCATGCACTTTCTGCAGAGACGAGTCTCTCTCGTCCGCCAGGGTGGCCGAGTACTTCACTGCCATGTTCCGCCGCAAAGCCTTCTTGCACTGGTACACCGGCGAAGGCTCTGTCAGAGAGCGGGGGTGGAGGGTGTGGGGATGTGAGGGGCACCGAGTCACTGAGTAAATCCAGCCGTTTGAGCCACCGTGGCATGGCAGGCATGGACGAGATGGAGTTCACCGAAGCGGAGTCGAACATGAACGACCTGGTGTCGGAGTACCAGCAGTACCAGGCGCAGCCATGTCCCAACCCAAGCCGGTAAAGCCTGAACCCCATGGCCTATTCTACTTACAAACCCCATCCTTGGTTGGAGGGTCCTTTTACAAGGACCTCGATTAGGAAAGTTATGTAAAGCGATACCCTAATGTAGGGCCACCCATGCCTCAGCCCTCAGCTGCAGAGGATGCCACTGCTGAGGAGGAAGGCGGGCAAGCAGGGCAAGCATGGCAAGTGTGCTCTTTTCTGTTGCTGATGCCGTTTGTGAGGGTTCCAACTACGGAAGCATGGCTTGCCTTGCAGGTGAGTTCGACGAGGAGGAGGGCGAGTACGATGGATAAGCGCGAAGAGTCGCAGACCCATGCTCGTGCCGCAAACTTGTCTCAGACCTGTGATGACCTTGACTGCTCCCGCAAGCCACACGGGGGCGCAGTCGGGGGAATTCATTTCCTTGCAAGCTTTCAAGAAAATCTTGAAGGCAGGTCGAGCATGAAGTCGTACCAACTTCCGCAGTTGGCAGGGTGAACAAAAGCATAGCATCAACTTGACCAGTGCTTTCTTGCGCTGTTGGCATCCTTTGTGAGAACTCGCACACTTGCTGTCGAGTTCTTTCATGAGTAGTCGTGAGCCTCGCGACTGAGAAATGCTTTGCTTGACCACAGCGCTTTCAGCAGTTCTCAAGTGACCTCCGTGCCCCCAATCGCCTTGCGCTTCTTGCAGCCATGCGTGAGCTCGTGCACGTCCAGGGTGGTCAGTGCGCTTCGGCTCCAGATCCACGGAGCCCTGAAACCCGAGACATACCGGCACCCCAAACCCCAAGGCCCTGAAGCTACACTACAATGTCACTACAAGCCCCGAATCGCCGAACCCTGGAACACAGCCCCGACACTCAAGCCCATTCAAGGCCCAAAGCCGGGAACCCCTAAACCCCAAACCCAGGCGGCAACCAGATCGGTGCCAAGTTCTGGGAGGCCGCGGTTGTTGAAAGCGAAAGCTCACATTCACTTCGGTTTCAGGCTCAGCAGTTTCGAAGGGCTTAAACCACCCGCCGCCTCCCCCCCCCCTCCGAAAGATCCTACTTTCTTAATTCTTCTTTGTGGACTGGAATTGGAATGCATGGCTGAAGCTTGCAGTGCCCCGCCTGCCAGAGTCGTCCAGGTGATCGCTGACGAGCACGGCATCGATCCGACAGGCGCACAAAGTTGCGTTAATGTGGCTTCGAGCTGCTGCGTAGATGCCTGAAGGTGTGTTTTCGGGTGCAGCTCGGGTTGGGGGCACTTGGGCTTGCAGCTTGTGGGATTGGGTGCGACGCTACTTGTAGCAGGTTTTCAATCGTGTTCTTCTCGACTTGGGCTGTCGAGCGTCATGCGCAATTCCATACACGCCCCGTATCAGCCACTCGCAGGCACCTACCATGGAGACTCCGATCTGCAGCTGGAACGCATCAACGCGCCTGCGCTGCATGGGCACAGGGTTTTGGATGAGCACGTGTTCCTCGCAACGTTCTCTAGGCTCTGGCGAATGATTGCCGGCCATCGTGGTGGGACAGCTGAGGTGTACTTCAACGAGGCGACTGGAGGACGCTACGTTCCCCGCGCGATCCTGATGGATCTTGAGCCAGGCCTCGGGGATTTGTGTCTTAAGGCTCTGTCGAACTCGCTCGATGGCTTTGCTACGGTCTTTACCGTTCCTATGCAGTTGCTCGGCCTTGCGGACTTCGCTGCCCATGCTGTTTTGAGGAACCATGGACTCCGTTCGCGCCGGGCCTTTTGGCCAGCTTTTCCGTCCGGACAACTTCGTCTTTGGACAGACAGGACAGGGCAGAACAATTCGCCGATATCCGCCGCTTGGGACAGCTCACGGAAGCAATCTCGCCGCATGAACGTGTACCCTGCTGCAGGAGCCGGCAACAACTGGGCTAAGGGCCCGGTGCTCGGCAGTGAGCGTTACGAGCGCAGGGAGATTGCAAGTTACGGCTAGTGTGCTCGAGCTGGCAGTGACGTGCGCTGTGTGTTGAGGTCACTACACTGAAGCCGCGAGCTCAGTCACGTTGAGTTCTGCCCCAAACCCAAAGTTGCCAAAGCATCATATCAAAGTAGCAAGCACGCCACTCAAGGTTTGTAGGGCAGTCCAGATGTCGCTGGTCGCGCGTTCTTGCCCCCCCTCCCAGCTTCAGCTTAACCCCTAGACGGCGAAGTACCCAAACACACCTTGAAGCCTTGCGAGCTGAGGGTGCAGAGCTCATCGACTCGGTGCTGGATGTGGTGCGCAAGGAGGCCGAAGGCCGACCCGCGCACTGGGATTGTGTTGGTGCATAACATAAGGCTTGCCGAAGCGGCGGATATAAGCTTGCAGTCGTACCACCGCACGCAGTGGCAGAGCGTAAGTCGGACGATGCCCAGCTGGACGCTGCAGACTGCAAATGATGCGTAATTGCCTGCGACTCCTCCTGGTGCACGATGCAGGCTGCGACTGCCTCCAGGGCTTCCAGCTCTGCCACTCATTGGGAGGAGGCACCGGCGCCGGCATGGGGACCCTGCTCATCTCCAAGGCGGGACCCGAAAACCCAAGCTCTGAAGCCACAGAAGCTCCTTACTGAAGCTACTTGACCCAACCTGCACAAAGCATCGGCCTAGGTTGAGGGGTTTTTGGGGGTTTGGGGTTTTAGGTCTTGTTGAGGGATCACCACAACCAGGTGCGCGAGGAGCCCTTCGGACTGCATTTGAGAAGAGCTTA